GTATCCCCTTCTGAGGGCATGATGTGTGCTGTGTTTCAAGAAGATAGGAGCAGGGAGTTCAGAGAAACTGCACCCCAAAATTCTGAAAGCAAAACTTGTGTCACGTGTATATCTTAAGTCACAGTGGGGTCAAAACTGCAGGGCTGGTAGCCCCTGGTGAGGCCACAAATCCCACCAAGTTTCAAGGTGATAGGTGCAGGGGTTTGGGGGGGAACTGCACCTCAAGCTGCTGACAGGCAAAATTCGTGATATAGGTGTGTTAAGGCTTAGCAGGCCGAAAACTGCAGGGGTTGTGGCCCCTGCTGAGTCCATGAAGCCTGCCAAGTTGCAAGGAGATAAGTGCAGGGGTTTGGGGGAAACTGCACCTCAAGCTGCAGACAAGCAAAACTCGTGACATTGGTGCTTGTGCAACTGTGTCTGTCCTGGGGCACTGGGGGTGGGGGGGGGCAGGCAGGGGGAGACTACTGCAGACCTGGCTGCTAAGCTACTGTGCTACCAGTTACCAATCAGTAATGATTCACTCAGGGACCAGCTCAATACACAGTACCTAGCTACTACATAACGACTTAACGATAATGGATTAACACCTACAAAACTACAGACTAAGGAGAGGAAATAATCAAAGCAGGAAATCAACTTTCCCAAGACAGACACAGTTAGTTGCACAAGGACCCATGTCACGAGTTTTGTCTGTCAGCAGCTAGGGGTGCAGGGCCCCAGAACCCCCCTGCACCGATCTCCTCGACAGCTGGCAAGCTTCATGGCAGCAGCCAGGGCTAGAGGCCTGCAGCTTTCACCCTGCCGTGCCTTAACACACACAGTGTCACCCATGTCATGGGTGTTGCTTGTCCACAGCTTGAGGTGCAGTTTCCTCCAAACCCCTGTACTTATCTCCTTGAAACTTGGAAGTCTTTGTGGCCTCACCAGGGGCAGTCTTGACCCTGCTGTGGCTTAAGACATACACGTGACATGAGTTTTGCTTTCAGTATTTTGGGGTGCAGTTTATCCAAACCCCCTGCACCTATTTCCTTGAAACGTGGCAGGCTCTGTAGCCTCAGCAGGGCCTAGCATTCCTGTAGTTTTGACCCTGTTGTGGCTTAACACATACATGACACAATTTTGGCTCTCAGGATTTTGGAGTGCAGTTTGTCCAAACTCCCTGCAACTATCTTCTTGAAACTTGGCATGCATCATGCCCTCAGAAGGGGCTATCATTTCTGCAAGTTTCATCCAAATCTGTCCAGAAATGACAAAGTTATAGGCTGTATTGATCTTCCCATTATAGTCTACGGGCGAAAGGGCATTGAAACAGCGAAACATTTCAACGTGCCTCATTTTGTTTTGAGGCTGTTTCGACCATATCCGTTTCATTTCGATTTTGCTGTTTTGACCTCAAAACAGGTTGAAACAAAACTGCTGGCGAAATTTCGCACAGCCCTAAAGCCTGATCTTTTTTTTTTCTCCCCATAGCCTGCCTGCCTGAGCTGTGCAGGGGCCTAGTGCTTCCCTCTGTGGCTGCAGGGGGCAGTGCTTCCCTCCATGGTTGCGGCACCCTCCGGGACTGCCCGGGTCAGGTGCCAGCACGTGAGGGTGCCACCGTCTGGCAACTCACAACCCTGTCTGCTGCTGAAGAGGCAGGTAAGGATCAGGCCCCCACTTTTGTGTACATGCTATGAGGGTTTAGTTTGGTTTAATTCTTGCTAAATTGAAGTAGTGTTTTTAAAAACCCACTGTTTCTAGAGAACTAAACTGAATTAAACCCCTGTGGCATGTACAAGCAGCCTATTAGGCTGAAGTAAACTAATTTACAGTAGTGCAAGTGCAGATGCTGCCCTGGTTAGTTGGGGCACAAGGGTGCTTTAGTGTGGGATCTGCCTGCTGGCTAGCCCTGTGCTGAAGCTTCCTTGTCCAGGCCAGGTCCTCTACAACATGTTGAGCAGGGTGGTGTAGCCCCAGACTGGCAGGCTGACATCCTGGACCCTTGCCAGCTAGGGCTGCTCCACCCCAGCTCAACGTGTTGCAGTCCTGGGCCCAGAGCCTCTGAGTTTATTGCTTCTGGGTGCATGTTCAAACAGTGTGGCTGGGAGCAATAAACTACAGATTTTATTGCTTTCCATTAATTGCACATCTGGACACATCTACTGCATTATATATACCACCTGCCACAGTGTGTAGAATCTGTGAGCGTGAAGGTCTCCGATTCATTAACCAAACAGTGGAAACATTGCTTGCCTAACCATGGAAGCAAGAGGGCAGGCAGAGAAATCCCTGGCAGCTGTTCTTGATAAGTTATGTGATGAGGTAGTTTTGCTTGGAAGGAAAAGTCAGATTTTAACCAGCTCTGCATGGGAGTACCTTAGCCACAGATTTTCAGTAACTGTGTTGACAAGCACGATTTGAAATGCCCTAGATGAACAAGTCAACAACAGAATCAGATCTAAATAGTAGTAGAACTGACTCACAACCCAGGAAAGAGGGAGACAGGAGAGATTTTAGGTTTTATTCTTTTCCCACCTCTACAGTCAAAGCAGGATTGAAAGCAAGATTCTCACATGCAAGAATCCTGAAATGTCTTCATATACCTTTGGAAGCACACAGAATTCAGACTTTCACTATATTGACCGTGCTCATTTGTGATGGTCAGTTGCTAAGCGTGTGTTCAAGTATATACTAAAGTACTTTCTTGAACTAAGGTTCAGATGAATACATACCCACAGGCAGTGGCGATGCATAGTGGGTGCACCGGGGTGCATGTGAACCCCCTGAGAGTGCTGGTATACCCCCTGACTGGCCACGCTCTCCGCTTAGGCAATGTGGGGGGAGGCAGGCAGGAGCACTAGTGCCCCCCTGCAAGCACCAGCCAATTGCTACAGCCACTCCCAGAAGCAGCCGCAGCGATTGGCCATCGTGGGATCGGCCGTGGGGCTCCCCCCGCCATGGGCAGTATAATCAGCTGGGGGGACCCCCCCCAGTTGGCAGGATTGGCCATGTGCCCCCAGTCAGTGGGACTGGTTGGGGGGGGGGCACCAGTTGCCCATGCCCACAGGCTGGGTTAACACTCACTGGTCCAAATTCTGTTGCTAGTTACAGTGTGCTGACATTACAGTAACAAAGAGCACAGACAGACCACAGAATGTGAACTCCCAGTATGAAAAATGAGCTTTCATGCAAGACTCCCAGTGCAGCAGATACTTAACTGAGCATCTCAGAGTTTAATTGTCCAGTGTGACTTCTCAGGAACAGATGGGATTTTATTTCTATATAGAGCCAAGCGTGGCTGGAAATGAGGAAGCCTAATGAGACAAAGAAAACCAAGTGTCCTACAAATGAGTCACCCTCAAAGTATTTTTATTTCATGTTTATAAGTCTGAACATTTAATCTGGTACAGATGAAAGGAAATCCTGCTGGGACTCCTTTGCGACTGAGGGGGTTGGTGGGAAGCAAGGACTCAGGGAGGGCATTTACAACTCAATTCAGTCCAATACCACACTGTGCATTGACTCCGGGGAGGAATGTGGTTTTTTTTTATGAGCAGAAATGCCTGCTTTTATACAAGAGAAGAAAAACAGCAACAACAAGGGAAGGATTTTTTTAAAGTAAAGATGAGGCTTTGATTGAAAGACAGCCAATGTGGATTTGATTCCAGCCTCTACTGCTAACTGCCTGTGAAGTTTTGGTCAAGTCATTTATGCTCTCTGTTTCCAGCCAATAAAATGGGAAGTTATGTGGGTTGGTGGTTTAGCTAGTGTTTCTGTGAAGTGAGACCCTGCATGGGAAGTGTTTCAGGAGGTCAGACTAAGATGGTAGTTGCAACTTTGTCAAGGAGGACTTGTGCCAAATTCACTATACCCTACTGGAGCATATATGAGCCCATCACAGCCCATAAAATAAGTGGTTGCTGCCCTGTGAACTCCTGAAAGGGACAGAGAGACAATTCTTTGTAGCTCCAGATTCCAACACCTTCATTTTCTCCATGAATGGAGTGTGGGTGGCATTAGCTCCCATGGAGTTTGAGAACTCATAGTTGGAGGTCAGTAAGTTCAAGAAGATCTCCTTCCCAACAACATCTGTTGGTGAAAGGGGATCTCGGAAGGCCTTGGGGGCTCATTTCTGTCCCCATTAGCTATTTCAGCCTCGTGAGTCCCTATTGTCTGCTTACAAAACTGCTAAATGATTCTGATTTGGGAAACTGAGGCAACCCCAGTCACAGGTTTCTCTGGAGGATTTGGCTTGTTTGGAATCATTGAGTTAGTGGGTGGCAGAGCTGGAGTCGGCTGCCTGACCTTCCATGATCTTTCCCCATAGTAGTCCACAGATTTGACTGCAGTGTGCTCGGACAAACCTGGGGCCATCCCTACCCATCCTGCCATAGTATCTCTATTCCTCAGCTGGGGACAGCTGCATGGACTCCACTAGAGCAGTTCTGATTGACACCTGCTAGAGATCCATCCTTTTGTAACAGACCAGGCCATAGGTAGTTAGGGTGGTTCACCTGGATGACAAGGGGAGGGTCCAAAAGGCAATGTTCAGAGCCAAGGGCTGTAGGAACCAGAGTCAGGAGCTGAGACTGAGGAACTAAAGTCAGGAGTCAAAAGGTCAAGGAGGAAAGCCAGAAACCAGGGGTGTGCAAAGAGCACCAACCAAAAAGCCCCAACAAAGAAGTCAGACATAGCTGTCTTTGGCTAGAAAGCTTGCTGTGATCTATTCTGGATTTATACAGGCCTGTGTGAGTGGGACCCTCCTTCCTATTGCCCCAGGGGATGACTCAGCCAAGTCCTTATCTCCAGCTGGGGCCTTGAGCTGAACCCTCCTCAGCTGGGCTCAGACTCATTATACCCTTGACCTCATGCAATGGCTCCATGGGCTTCCATGCTTCTTTTCTTACTCCCAGGCTGCATCCTTTCCTCCCCAGTTTGCCCCACTCTCTCCTTTTCCTTCCCACATTTCTTCCCCTTTCTTTTTTTTAACCTTTTCTTCTCTTCCTCCCTTTCTCCCTGCCTTTCTGTCTGTCTCTTATACCTGCGCTAAACTTCCCTTATTCTTGAACTGCCCACTCTGCTGAGCTTGCCTTTTCCTTTCTGAGTCAGTCTCCTTGACTTTTTCGTTTCTCTCCATGTTGTCCCTTCTCCTCATTCTGCTCTTTCATTTCTCTCACTCACCCTTATCCACTCCTTTCATTCCTCTTCCATTTACCTTGTTTCATCTGTCTCTGCCTGATCTCTACCTCCTCTAGCATTCAGACCTCTGCTTGGGGCATTTATGAATGGAGGTGGAGTCATGCATCCTAGGATATCTATCCCTGTTCGGGACAGTGTCCTGTTTCTAGACCTTCACAGTTCTGGAGCCATTAGGTGAGGCACTGGCAACAGTGCCAGCATTCAGGGGTATAACTTTCACATTTGGTGTCCTGGGAAAAACTTTCCCAGTGGCGTGTTGCTGGGTATGAGAGAGCAGGGGGAGAGGGAGGGTGAAGGAAGGTCTTACCTTTCCTGAAAACTCAATGATTCCTACAGCTCCTGCTCTGTCCTGTGTGTCCTGCACCTAGCTCCTATGGCCAGGCAGCACAGGGCTGCTCCTGATATGGCAAAGAGTCCAGTGGATGGGGGTGCCATTCCAATGCACCCTCTAAGTTAGTGCCCAGGGCTAGTGCCCCTCTCATCCCCACAATTTACACCACTGGCAGCATTATTTTTTATGCCTGTGCATGACAGTCTTTTAGCTACCCTCCTGGGCAGTCATAGCTTGAATCCATTTTCATGGGATGCCCATGTTTGTTTGCTGTGTTGATTTCAATTTGTTTGGGCTCTGACAACTCCCAGCTTTGGTCTCTGCACCCAGAGCTCATCTTCACTTCTAACATTGGAACAGTGGTCCAGCTGGCTCAGTATCCTGCCTTCTGCTTCAGATCTATCACAGGAAGGTGGAAGGACCCTGCTGGAGGCAGCTTCAGGATACCTGTCTAGAAGAAGACTCCTAACCCCTCAACAGCTACATGTTATCATCAGCTCTAGTGAGGGAAGGTTTAGATCCCATCCCAAGCTCTCAGTTAGCATAATGACGTCCCTAGAATTGTCTGAATCCTGCTGAACCCTTTTGGAAACCTGCTAAACCCTCCGTTCAGTTTCATTGTACTTGTGTCATAACACAGAGGAAATAGAGAAGCTAGGTCAGTAGACTATCTCTTTCCTTAATTTGAAAGCTTTTGTTGGGTTCTTTCTTATCTATCTCCTCCTCAAAGTAAGCAGTCCCAGTCCTTTCAGTCTCTTGTAATAAGAGAGGTTTCCATGACTCTGGTCTTGCTTGTCTAGAAATCAGATCATATAGAAACACCACCTTGAAGTTCTGTTAACTGGGATGATGGTAAATATGACTTAATAGGAACAAACTGTATTTGAACTTCATGTCAGTTACTGAATCACTGTAATTTCAATAGAGTTTAATCAGGACTAGCTGATGTGATACTTAAGAATAGTATCTGTTTACACCGCACATTATTGTGTTTGACAACATCTTAGTTAACACAACTCTTCAAGGTCATGATCTAACTTCTGAGTGAAGAAAACTCTCATAGGATTTGCTAGATCTGATCAAATTACTTGTTGCAAATAGACTAGCCAGAAAAATCATCCTTTTTGTTTCTTTTTTCCAAATGGATTCCTGCTACTATAAACAAATCTAGTATTCAGAAGCATTCAATATGTAGTCAATGAGAGCAAATTTCAGACCACATGTGCACTGACTGCAATTACTCAGTATTGCTTCTGTGTGATTAGCCATCTTGGTCAAATGGTATAATTTCTGGTTCCTGATTGATTGACTGACTTTGACTTGCCAATGACAAACAGCAAATAATATTGTTCATACACGAAAGCTTTTGTGCAAATGTGCTTAGAAAAAATAAAAGCAAGGTTAGGCCACTTATATATTGAAGGGGAGCTTTAAAAATCTAGTACTTAAAATATGTTTATTCTGTTTATTATTAATTCACTGACAGATGTGGCCTTTTATGGATTTAGTACTTTTAATGCTCATCATTTATATAGCACTTTGGATAGACAGAGTCCTGCATAAACCTAAATTCATCCAAATATTCCCCCAAAGCACTAAAAAACTTAATACTGGGCCAGTGCATGAGAGTCTGAAAATGAAAATGAACAGCATGGAAAGTGTGAACAATTTAATTTCACTGACCCAGCTGAGTGAAACTTGAAATATAAACACATTGCAGAAATGACAGATAGTTGTCTGATTGTTAACATTCCTTCCATGTGAATACTGAGAGTCTTTGAAATCAGGTGTTTAAACAGAGGATACATATTTTTAAAATCTTCACAGTAAACACCCCCCCAAAACCTACAACTTACAACTGCTCTGAACTGTAGTTAACTCTTCTTTTGGGCATCCTGTGTGTTGGGGAGTTCTGGATTTGCAGCTCCAGAAATACCAGGATACTGGGCACTGGCTGGTAAGCTGACAAGTTGGCTATCTTTGAGCCTCTTTGATCTAAGGGGCAAATGGAAGTGAAACTAATTTAGTTGCTCCAGTTTGGAAAACAAGCCTTTATAGCTATTTTCATTCCTCTTCAGGACATGGGGAGATGAAAATATATCATTTTCCAAAGTACAAAAGAAATGCATATCTTACACTTGAATAAATGCCAACATAACTGGGAAGTTTGCAATTCTTAAGCATATAGGACTGGGATATTTCAGCGGGGAATTAGGAAAGTATGAGGATTCAGGAGCTAGGTCCAATAAGAGGCTTAGGAGACTGAAGGTTTGGGTCTGTAGCTCCCAGCTTTCTGCCCGCTGCAAACGGTGCCTGCCCTCTGCAGTGAAATCCAGCACGTTCCAGGCCTCCAGCACATTGTTCAGAGATTGTGTTCCCAAGGAGGATGAAGCTTCACATGCCCTGCCCACCCAAGTCCATGGGCACAATTATAACTGGAAATATATCAATAAGGCTGTTCCAGGCTTGCCTCCAGTGTCTATTCTCAGGCCTGCGAGAAACTGGGTGCAGAGGAGAAGCCCAAAGCAGCCCTAGGTCTTGAATGTGCCCATGGATTCAGGTAGATAGGGAGTGACTAGGAAGTGCCTGGGCCCATCCTTGATGGGACCTGCTGCTGCAGTGCTATAGACAAGCAACCAGGTACCTCAGAATGGGGTAAAAAATAGCCACTATAGGGGCTGCCTAGAGCTGGTCAATAGGAAATCTGTCCCTCTCTATAGTGTAGGTGCCTCACTTAGGACTATAAGGAGGAACATCTGTCTATTCCGGATCCTCCCTTTGAATTGAAAGGTACCTATAACATTTCTTTGAAAGAAGTGAGTACTTGCAAGGACTGTTTAATGTAAAATATGGACACAGCATTGGGAAGCAGGGACCAAAAACCATGGCTTTCCCCTTGCAGATGAGTACTGTAACCACTAGACTAGTCAGGGTCTTTTTCTTTGTCTTTCTCTGACTCAATGTACCTAGGATTCTTGTGTTTCCAGTAACCCTGCTTCAATATGAGGGGCAAAACGTGCCTTGGCAAACCAGAGTAGTTTATACATCCCATGCTTACCAGGGAGCCAAAGGTAAAGGTTAGAACCCCGTTATGCTAGGGAAAGAAATTAAACCCAGTTTTCCTCTTCCAGGGGTGTGCTCTAACCACTAGACTTTGATATCAAAGATGAGAGCCACTGCTTGCCATGTCATAAAAGAAAGCAGTTGCTCTTCATGGGAGCCTCTTGTTAGTGAGAGTTAAATGGGCTCTGAAAACACCTACTAGATTTGGACTTAAGTGGAAGAATGCTTACTTTTGGGAACCTGATCAGGGGTATATGTGAATCCAAATGGTAGCTGCTCGGACTGTGGCAGTTATGGGTATGACCAGAGGCACAGGTCTGGTCACCTGGAGAATTTTAAGGTAAAAAATTAAGGCGCCTATGAAGTCAGGGGGCAGCTAAGCTAGGGTTGTTTGGATCATAATTTTGCACTTAGGTTCCTACCTTCCACATAAGTCCTGCTTTAGGCATCTAAGTCCTTTACTGGTTCTAGCCACTGGGTGTCTAATTCTCTCAGGCTTCTTAAAAAAGTTGCAATCTAGTTCTCTCATACTGGATGCTCTCTGCATTAACCAGTCTACCTGGAGCTGTGTAGATGAGTTTTAAGCATTTCCTTTGCTTTGATAAGAGCTATTTCTGCTGGTACCTCCATGTGTGGAGGCACCCCTCTCCCCTCCCAAGAGATGCCATCAGTGGAGATGACTGATCTGGATGTGGGGATGGTGATGTAGAGGTTGGTGTCATCCACATGATATGTCTGGGGGGGATGGCACCCACCACTGGTCATTTCTCCAATGATGTAAGCTCTGCCCAGTCTTTTCATGATATGGACAAACTCCTCTGCAGCCCCAGTAGTCACAGCACTGGTGAGGATTACCAAACCCTTCTGTGAGCCATATCTCTCACCTGCAAGAGACAAGATAAGACAGTGTTAAGCACATCTACATTTAAAGGTCCACTTGGATCATAGAATAGCGTGAAAAGAACAGAGGCAGACTGTATTTCCATCCCCTCTGTTATTAATGCCTGAAAGAATCCTGACTTACTTTCCAGCTGCAATGGCTGGAATTTGCTTTTTCCAATAAACAGCTTGTGCATTGTAAACAGTCTGGTCATTATCATTGATGTTGCTACATCAGTTTCACTTCCTGCCTCTCTTGTAGTAACAAGTTCTGGACATATTTGAACTTTGAATTGAAATGGTTTTCCATGCAATTACAATGGAGAAGTTCAGTTTAGCTTTGGTTTTACCCAAAATCCCCTTACTGAAAATCTATAGCTGGGGTCTGGACTGACTTGATTGTTTCCCTTACTTAACCAACAAGGAACGGTAGTTTTTCTCATAATTTCACATTCAACGTAACATTTTGCTGGGGCCTGAGCTGTTTGTTTTTTTTAAATCAGGCCTTCTGTATCATAGAGTAACCTGAGCACTTGGGAAGTTCATCCTATGCCTCTGTAATAATATCCTTGGAGTCTGTCCATCATATGGACCAATGGTGTGAGAGTTAACTATAATTTTAACTTGTAAGAAGGGGCCCAACATCACACGAGGGACCTTTCACAGAATTAATTTTCACAACAACTTTAAAAGGATATTTTTTTTTTTACTGACAAGTTATGGGCCATTAGAAGATGCTGTCTAAAGCAGATATATAATACAGAGCTTGATCCAAATCTCCCTGAAGCCCATTCTCTTTGAGGGGATTTGGATTGTGGCTATAATAATTCTATTCTCTTAGCACATCCAAACTTTAACTATCTATGGTGACTACACCGGGGGAGTGTGCCACTATGGCAAAGTAACTGCCGATCACATGCAGACCCATGTGATCATTGCATCACCATAGCGCACTGTATGGTGATGTAGCATGTCACTGCGTCATCGCAGAGCAGGGGCAGGCAAAATGTGGCCCACCAGACCATTCTATCCGGCCTGCGGGGCCCCTAAAAAATTTTAAAAATTAATATTTATCTGCCCCTGGCAGCCTGTCATGAGGCCCTCAATGACTTGCCAAAACTCAGTCAGCGGCCCTCTGCCCGAAATAATTGCCCGCCTCTGTCACAGAGCAACATGTAGACACGCCCACTATACCATGGACACTAGGGGAATGGAGGTAGTGCAGGGTCTCACAGATCTGGGCCACAAGCAAATTTGCAGAATATCTAGTTTTCCTCTGATGCTTTTTCCTTGTATAGGTTTAGCTGTTGGCTTCAGGTGTTTTCAGCAGGAAAAATGTAGTCTCTGATGGATGGCTATGGATTGAGCACTCCATTTGCCTAGGAAATTCACAAGAGGCTACAATCATACATACCTAAAAGTAAAAGTTATTATGAAGTGTGGTTGCCATCTCACCTGTGAGCTGTGACTGGGTCCAGATCTCATTTACTGAGTCAGTGGGTCTGTTGTAAACCTTGTCCAGAAGAACTCGGTGCCCTTCATCAAAGAAGTAAGAGCACAGGCCTGGTATGGAGGTGGTAGGGCCTCCAATATTGAATCTGTGTAAACAAGAAAAGAATCCAGGGCATAATTGACCATTTGTAGCAAACAGTGTAATTATCTTCCTTATCTCTCTCTAACTCCCAAGTTCTGCTGTTTTATAGCATCTCCAAAAAAATGGTTCAGACCTAAGGTCTTATATCTGTATATTACGTTCTCCCTCACAGTATTTGCAATCCTAGCATTATAGAACTGAACTCCTGCTGGAAAACCTGATACTGTTATTGCTCACAAACTGGTTAGAAATGAAAAATTAAAGCTATTTTCTTGGATCAACATGGTGAAAAAAACCCCAGAAAATAAATCAGAAGAGATAGTTAGAGACATATTAGATTCTTGAAGTTCTTTTATTTTTTAATAACGTACAGTTATTACTAACATAAGTAATGGAATTTAAAAAGCTGAGCCAATACACTTAGACTTTGCTATTAATGTTTAGGCAATTAATTTTCATTTAGGGGCACAAAAATAAGTGTCTGAGTGAAGAGGCATTGAGAATCTACATCTCCCAACAAAGCCAGTGAAAGTGGTCACCACTTTCTAACCTCAAGTGATTTCTTTTTGTGTCCAGTAGTTGAT